TGTAAAAAAAATGTCTAAAATTATAAATAGTGAAAAATTAAATATAAAATATTTCCAGTGTCAACCAATATATAATACTAAATATTATACAAGTGATTTGTCTTAACAAAAATGGCATAAAAACACATATTATTCAAATACGGGTCCTTTTTGACCCACTTATGGAAGAAGCGTGTATGGGTCCAGTCACTCGTGCATCGAAGGGTTAACTTGAATTGAAGAAGCAAAAGATGCGAAACTTGAATGCCATTCAATATTCTGTAAATATTTAGCGAATTTCAGTTTCCATTCTCAGACAGCAACACAGAACACTGATAACGCCAGATAAACAGGCCGAACATGACTCACAATAATGACAGTAGTAAACTAGTCATGTCTGATCAAAATGTTTTCTAAACATTAATCTTATCACTACTTATCCTCCTGCTCTAAATGCTCTAATAGTAGTTTGATTATCGACTCATCTTACCGTTGACTGGGTTTACAACACTGCAGTGTGTGTTTTCATTCAGAAATCCCCCTATTTGTTTTCAGCCTTATTAGCAGCAGGCCTCTCTGGGATGGTGACATTAAATAAAGATTTAAACTCCTCAGACTCCTTTCGGACGGCCCACAGTTTATCCTCTGCAGACAGGGCTCCTACTCCGGAGTGTGGACTGTGTCTGTGAGTTTGGGATTGAGAATAAATATAATCCTGTATTAATAAAGACAGAGAGGAGCTTACATCACATGTTCACTCACCTGGGAGAGTAGTGTATGTCTGACACGATTCAGGTTGGGTGTTTACATAATAGCATGGGATTGTTGGCTATTTACAGCTATAAACAAAAGCTGTAATGAGGTACCATGTTATGGGATTGGGAAAACAATAGTTTTCTTTCAGATAAAGTATTCCCCATGTTTAAATGTTCATATGTTTATATATTTATACATGTGTGTTGGATAGACAGATATCTGTGTGTGACACTATTAACTTTTATTTTATTGGTACCTTTTGTTTTTGTTTTTGTGTTTTTAGTTTTTATATTACTTTTAATTTTGTATTTCGATTTATTTTTGGGAATATTCGTCAGTAAAGTCACTGGAAATGTCTCCTAAGTAAATAAATAAAAAAGCATTGACCAGCATATTTTCTAGTTTCAGACTGAACCCTGCCATTACATCCAGCAAAGATCTGAAAATAACACAGTGTTTGTTTCAAAATGTTTTCCCAGTTCACAAACAAAATTATCCTTCAGACACACGTGTAATTATCAGACTGTTGTTATAGTGTAACCACCCAAGTTATCTCTCAAGTTTAACTCAATACGTGTAAGTTGTTTGTCCCATGGCTAGCATTTTTTATATAAGGTCAGTGCAGTCAGTTCCTGGGTTTCCACATCACTCAGCACTGAGCCACCAAATCCCAGATTACTTTCAAATCCACAGCCTACCTGGAAGAATGAGTGACTATAATAACCATTATAATCTAATTACAGTTGCCTTTGGTCTGTATACAGTGGATGCTGCTGTAACTAAACAGAAACGGTGTTAATCTACCAGTTTTTAATAATATATTGAATGTTTTTGATTATTTTGCCCTCCAGTAGCTACAAACACCAGGAATGAAAACATGATATAGGCTTAAATGATTATTCGTTTTGTGGTCTTCCGAAATCTAACCAAAACATTACACCAGAAGGTTACAACATGCAGAAGCGCTGAGCCTACAAAATGTCTTTGCATATGCACTCAAATGTAATCCACTTTAGATTTATAGAAGTTGTTTCATCATGCTACAAAATAGCAAGCAAGATATTTTTGAACAGACACTTTAATGAAAGAGTATCTGGTTAATGGGAAACATAGGCTGGTTAACATAGACTACTGCTATTTTATATTATTTACTGTGTGTATTATATCCCACATAGGATACATTAGTTCAGCCCCAATGCATTTTCAAAATGCCCAAGATGTAACTCAGATACTGGGCATCTCACATATTTTAAAAAGATTAAGCATTCTATTCTTTGTTGTTGTTCTTTTTATAACTTCATCCCAGAAGGAGGCGACATTGACCTGCAACCAGAGTTTTAGGAAGAATATTTATCTGACCTGTCTATTTTACCTTTACAGGCCTACATCTGTCCATGGGCTTTACTGGATAACAATAAAACCCATAGATTCAACTTGAAAGTAATTGCCTTCTGGATCATTTATACACAAATTAAAAGACCAGAGGAGACGTGTGATATGAACGGCAGATTTGTGGTGATGTCACTAGAGGTCATCAGAGGTGCACGCAGCCGCCGCGAGGACATCTCCCAAAACATTCCCCTTCTACGTCACAATCCCCGCCCCGCCTCGTGCCACAACGACTTTTGTCAGCTGCACGAGACGCGCGGCGTCTTGCCTCAGATATGAAAACTGTCAGTTAACGTCAGTTGGAAGCTTCGTCAGTTGGTAGCACCGGTTCCGTTCGGTGCGACCGTTGACCCTTTGAGTAGTAGAGCAGAACCGGAGGCTGTGGGGGCTCACCAGCGGTACCAGAGCCCGGCTCCGGGTGAGACTACCCGGCGACTGGCGCTCTTTGTATCTCTAAACTGCGGGGTAAGTAGCTTTAGTGCGGGGTTAGCTTGTAGCATGAGTGCTAGGTGGGTTGACAGTCACTGTCCGCTGATGAGCCGAGCTCTAACAGCGGATGGAAACGTCCTTCTCAACCGGTCATGGTGACGGTTCTGGATCATCCACTAACATGTTACATTGAAATTCAACTTTTTGTTTGTTATGAAGGTTGTCAGCTCTCACTTGTTCTGTTTGAACCTCGTGATCAGTCCAGCACAGGCCAGGGTCCAGCTGCTGGATCTAATCCAAACCTGCTCTTATTTATCTGTGTACTTCGGTAAAGTAGAAGTACCAGAGTATAGGAATACTCTGTTATAAGTAAAAGTCCTGCATTCAAGTGTTACTCAAGTAAAAGTAGAAAAGCATTGGCATCAAAATATACTTAAAGTAGCAGTAGTAGTACCTACCAAAAGTACTCATTATGCAGATTGGCTCATTTCAGAATAATATATCATATGTTTTGATTAGAATGATTGATGCATTAATGTGTTTATCACAGCTGGTAAAGGTTCAGCTAATTTTTATTAATTTGTATAGTGCAGGTTCATATATCTGTTAAAGTTCAGGATATTATTATTTTAGCTGTCAACAAGATCTTTTACTTGTGTGGTTCTTGGAAGGAAAATATAATGTTTAACTTTGCTGGATTTAAGTACCTATATGCCTATTATCTCTAAGCTTTAATTATTGAATACACCTCTCTTTCTTAAAGATAATTTAGAAATGTAGCATTTTTATTTTAAAAGGGACAGTGACTACATGGCTTGCCATACCAGTACATTGTATTTGTTTGATCACAAGATAGAGACAGGTGCGGGATCCCCTGCCTGTCTCTATCTTGGTAAGTCATTGGGCTGTGAAAACACTAATGACATTACAGGAAATAATTCGGGGACTTAACCATTCTGTCCCTTAAAAAGTCACTGATGCTTTTATTTGATCAATTATGTGAATTAGACTCAAGGTGAAAAATACATTTGATTACATTGTCTTTATTGTCTACAATTTCTATAATGTATTACTGAAGTCAAAGTTCAGAAAAAATGTAAAACACTCTGGCACCATTTTTACATATCAGGATGTTCTGCTTTTCTATTTGTTAAATCTTTGTAAATTCCTCTTGAACTTCCTGGACAAACTTTTCTGAGAACAATCAGGTTTTAAAATAAGGTGTGAATTTGACTAAAACATCTGTCCTAATTTGACTAAAACATCTGTCCTTTCAGTTTAGTATTTCTGCCACTCTCATTTTCAGACACAAGTAAACACACTGAGAAAATCTGACCGAAGTTATAGTGCTAATAGCCTTGAGGCTGGAGTACATGTCAAAACTCGGTTCAGCACGAATCAGGCTTTTCTTCATTCCAACACTCATTTCTTAATGTTTACCTTACTGTATGAACTCATTTAAGTGCTAGAGAAACATGGTTTGCAGCTTTATGTGCAGGATATAACCGTTTGTATCCACGCATATAGCTGTTTCAGAAGTTATAGAGAGAATGGATTTATTTTCAACTTGCAACATTGCAGGCGGTCTGTGGAAAACACTGAGTCACAGCTGCCCAGCGGTGACAACAAGCGTCTCCCTGTGGGACCAAAGCCTTAGCAACATAACATTCTTTGGACAAGACTCACAGCGAGTGGCACAGATGATTGAAACATGTTTAGATACATGTGGCGTGGATTGGATCCTCTGTCACAACACAAATTGACTTAGAACTCCCTACACCTTACTTTAACAGGCCTGTACTTCCTCTTTGTTGCAGGCTGTGCAGTAGTTTCTTCACTCCAGCTGTCGACTCCTATGGCTCCAGGTACTGCCTGACTTTTGATCTGTCAAGCAGGAACAGGACAGGTCAGCATGTTCTTATGAATTCATACATTTGCACCCAAATTGCCTTCAGGATTGAAAATAAATGTTCTTATGCATGAAAAACAATACAACTAACTAGGGCTGCTCGATTATGGCAAAAATCATAATCTCGATTATTTGGGTCAATAATTGATATCACGATTATTAAAAACGATTATCCATTTACTTTGAAAACATCCATTTATTGAAAAAAAAATATGTTAACAGTATGTTTTTAACAGTTGATTACCCTGAACCTTAAGTATAATTCAACTGAAAAACCAATAAATAAAATAATTTAAAAAAAATCGTTTTATTTAGATTATGTTGTTTTCATAATCTTTGCAAGCAAAAATCGTAATTGCGATTTAAAATACGATTTCATTGAGCAGCCCTACAACTAACCCAAAAAAGCCAAATTTGTATTTGATGTTTTATGCTGATGGTTATTGTCCCACCCTGTCAGGTCCAGACAGAGAGATGAGCTGGGCGGAGGAGGACTGGACCGTGGGGCTGTCGGGACGGGTTCTGCAGAAGGTGAAGGAGCTGCAGGTCAATCAGGAGCGACTGTCCAGAGAGAGCAAACAGAAACAGCTTCAACTGGACAACATCCATACAAGCGTCGAAAAACAGACATCGAAGGTACAAGCAGCCATGTGGCAGCTTTGTTTTTCAACATTACTAACCTCAACCTTGTTGCCACATTCACATTGTTACACGAGCAAGCTTTACTGACCTTTAAAGTGTACAGAGTCTCTGTAATGTGCACTTCAAATAAACTGAAGTATAATCCTGTCAAACATTGCCACAGTCAATCGTATCTGACAGGATTTGTTATTTCAGTTTTGTTAGTATAATCCTAAAATATTTACCTTTCCTTATCCGCCTTCTCTTCCTCTCCCCTACCAAGTATGAGGAGGTGCGTGGGGAGCTGGTCTGCACGCAGAGAGAGCTCCAGAGCGTCAGCAAGGAGGCCAAGGCGGCAGTGAGCAGCAGTGAGCGCCTCACACAGGAGCTTCACACCAAGCAGGCCCAAGTGTGCTCTCTGGAGGGCCAGGCAGACGCCGCTCGCACACTCAACAACAAACTCACCCAGGAAGTCAAAAGGTTAGCAATAATGTGCCATTGGGATTTTTTCAATGATTTTTCTGGTACTTTTTCTAAATATGAGTTTGCTAAATGCATTTGATGGAAGCATAACATTTCATATGGAGCTAATAGATTAGAACAGGGGTCGGCAACCTTTTTGATATGAAGTGCCATTTAAAAAAAAAAAAAATTGTTATCAGTGTGCCAACGATCGAGAATTATCAACGGGGGGGGGGNGTGAGATGAGATCGCTGTCCCTTTAAGAGAGAGAGAGAGGGGCGTGGCTTGTACATGTGTGTTTGTGGATGGTAGAGCGACAGTGAGGGAATGTGTGTATGTTTCTGGAAGTGAAACGAGGAAGCAGAAAAAACAGAGGTCTGTGATGTATTTTGTGAAACAGAAGAGCAGCTAAATAAATGCAACGGCCTCCCAAGAAGAGCTCGCCTCTCTCCAGTCATTTAAGCTAAAGTGGGTTATTGAACCTGAAGCTTGTTGCTTCTTCCCTCCTCGACTACGGTCTGGGAGCCGACAGGAAAGTTCAACACACAGATGGCCAGTCTGCCCCTTTGTAGCATATTATTTCGATGAGAGATGAGCAGATTGCCACTGGGCTTTCAACTAAATACACAGCCACGCAAAAAGTGCGGCATTTGTACAGCTCCTTATGGGTACTGCAATTAGTGAAGTGCTTTCCTCCGTGATGAAACGATCAGCACTGCACCACGGAGGAAAGTCACCTGGAGATAAAGAGAGCGGGGCTGCGTTGCGTGCATGGCTTCCTTCTGCAGGTAACGGGGAGACGCTCTGGCGGCGGTCTCGTTCAGGATCCAAAAATACAATTTAAATATTTTTGCACACTTATTCCTAGTGTGCCACTGGTTACGGTGCTGGGTGCCAATGCTGGCACGCGTGCCAGGGGTTGCCGACCCCTGGATTAGAAGAAACATCCTTTATCCATTTCATCAGGCCATTCGCTCTTCGTGATATCTTTGTTTCCTTCGACCTCACTAAACGTTTACCATCTGTTTCTTTCTCATCTCTCTCTCTCTCTCTCTCTCTCTCTCTCTCTCTCTCTCTGACAGGTTGGAGGTAGAGCTGGAGAAGCTGCAGAACAGCAGCCGATTGGCCGACACCACTCTGTTTTCTACACCCTGCTGGAACACAGCCTCGCCATGGGAAAGCAATGGTACAGTCCTACAGTACAGTCACGTCATGGCTCCTGGGTTTATTCTCCCTTTTCATTTATATAAAGTGTGGAAAATAAAAAAAACAAGGGCTCCCATGTGAGCAGAGAGGTTATAAATAAACTCCCTCAGCTCATGTCCTTTAACAACCCCTTCACTCTCTCAGGACTGTTACTCTTTCTTTTCTTGTCAGTAAACCCTTCTGCTGTTTCAGTTCAGCTTTGGGTTTTGCTTTAGGTACCAATCCATTCATTTATGCTTTGTTGTTGCCCTGTAGGGAGCAGAAAGGAGGAGAGGTCAGGGCACAAAGATGAAGGACAGAGCCGGGCGCTTCACAGCCGAGTAAGTACCATCACATTTTTCTGCTGAGTTATGCGTAGTGTTTTCACTTTGGTTAACTCATTCAATTAATGACCAAGGATGTATCATCTATCAAAACGTTGTTTCTTTGTATGACTGAAGATATTAATCTTCAAACAATTCACAAATAATAATGATACAAATGATACACTTTTATAAAGCACTGATCAAAGCAAAGTAGAAAGTGATTCAAACTGAAAATATGGAAATCAAATACATGATGAGATGCATGAAGGGGAGACATTCAGATACAGGACACAAGAAATGAAAAAACAATGAATTAAACTGGTAACTCCAACAGAATCTGTGTTTCCTGATGCGAGTATGCTTTAAGAAGAAATGTATAAGCAGACCCTGACTCAGACAGCCTTATTCTTTTGTTCCTCTTTATTGTAAATAGTATAATTCTTAACAAAGTGATTTCCTAACAGCTGTGCAGCTTGAGTATTTTTGGGATTTACTACAGCTTTGGATTTGGTGCAGTAGTTAAAGGTGGGGTAGGTAAGTTTGAGAAACCGGCTCGAGATCCACTTTTTGTTATATTCCATGGAATGCTCTTAACATCCCGATAGCAATGAATATCTGAAGTGCTTTGACAAAAAAATACATTAAAAATGTCATCTGTGGAAGCCGTAGTACTGTAAAAAGCACGACCAATCATCTGAGCCGGCCCGGCTAAAATAACTGGATGGCCTACCTGCCTGTCAGCCTTCCATCTGTGCACAAACTTATCTCGTGCCCTCATTGGTCATGTGCGCGTTCGTGTGTGTTGGAGGAGGGGCTCTGTAAGGAAGTGGCCGATTTTTTCCGGTTGTGTATTTTCAAATTCTAGCGCACTCGAGCTCGTTTCTCCAAAATTACCTACCCCACCTTTAAGTGTTACTCAGTACTGACATTTGCTTAAGAAAAGTTTTTCCTAGTTTTCGCTGCTAAAATCCAATAAATTGTTCCGCGTTTGACGACAGCTAAAAAATTACATCTTGCCTTTAGGCTTCTCTTCACACCCGAATTGTGTCTTTTCTCTCTCTCTCTCTCTCTCTCTCTCTCTCTCTCTCTCTCTCTCTGTGTGTGGTGGGGCTTTACAGAGTTTATCTCAGGAAGTCATACTTTAGTTAAATGCTGTTTTAGTGAAAAGACCCTGGAGCCCTGTTGTTTGTAAGTTCAGCCAAAACGTTCTCTCTAGTTTGACATCCTGTCTCTCACCCCCCTTTTCTCCCTCCTCTCCTCCCTACTGCAGCGGCTCCAGTTCCCCGAAGCTGGCACAGCCTCGTTACCACGGCAACAACAACAACACAAGAGCACACCCCACCGCCACCCGTCCGACCAATCGGAGATCTTTTCCACTCCCCTGGTTGCGTTTCCGTGGGAACGGGATGACTCCAGGCCAGCAGCCAGGAGACCGTCCCCAAGCTCTCCCCAGACGCCCTGCACTGAGGTCGTCAGTCAGCCGGAGCAGAGGGCTCATGGAAAAGAGACGGAGCGCAGGACGGAGCCAGACAGTGAGTGATGTCAAATGGTCACCATGGTGAAGGGGCACGACTGGGGGCCGGGCAGTTTGTAAAGATAAACATACAGATCACCCCGGCAGTCTGTCGCCTAAAGCAGGATTAATTAAGTTATCTGGATAACTGCACTAAGTATCTCTGGGTCCCAGCATGGACTTAAGAAAACAGAAGTTCTGCTTTTACCTAATGAATCCTGCTCTGAGACGATCCCTAAAACAATCCCTTTTTTAAATTAAAACCTACTATTAAGGTTTTCTAATGTAATCACTCTAAACCTTTTTTTTTAATCCTTGAATACAATCCTACATTTTAAGTAATTGATGAAGTAAGTATATCTTCTTAAATCAACTTGGTTTGTTTTAACACAGATTGTTAGTGCGTACCGCCCTCTTTGTGGGGCAAGCCTGAGAGCACACTTTGTTTTTTTACTACATTCAAATTTAGTTTTTAAAATAATAAAACCAACATAAAAGGATTGAAGCAGAATCATTTGGATACAAACATAACAAGCGTCACACAAGTCTGACAAAATCCTCTGCGGCTAACCTTTAAATGTAATTTGTATCCTAATCTTTATCTGCTAACTTTTAGAAAAACCTGGTTTACAAAGAATTTTGAAACATGCAAACAAAAATCAACAATAAGAATTCCAATGCCACTATTCCCCACAGCCCCACATCTTTGAGGCAAATTAGCATTTCAAATATCAGAATCTCAGCATCGGATGGATTTAAACTTAAATTAGGGAAAGATGAATGATTCTGTAGAGCGGAGGATTATCATCAACTGAACTTTCGATTCCAAGTCATGACATGCTATCTGTTTTAGTATTAAGCTTTAACAGGAATACCTCTGAAAACTCAGCGTACATGAAGCACTGTCATCATTGTGAATCTCATGCACTCTGTATAACCTCAACAACACTTGTTACATAACAGGTTTGTTTTGAAATCACTGGCTCCGCCTCTCTGTTTGCTCGTAGGCCAGCTTTATGATGTACAGCGGCTCTTGGTACACTTCATAATTATGATATAACACTGTTCTTTCCCTCTGCTCCCCTCTGTGTTTGTTCAGAGGAGGAAGGGGACTGCTCATTGTGGAACAATAAGTGCTTCTCTTAGCTTTTGGAGTAAAGGGAGGGGTGTGTGTAGTGTCAATGCTGCTATGTTTTTTATCATATTATTTTATTATATTTCCCTCTATTGTAATCACTGAATGTATTCATATAGTAAGTCTATGGAGGCTCTTCAGTTAAAACAAGTTAAACACTGGTTGATATTAAAGGTACAGGACAAATGTACAGGTCCGTGTTGGATAGATATTACGTTTTCCCTGGCTCTGGAAACCATCAACCTGACCGCACAGGCTCGTTCACACAGACATCAATGATCTGGTCTCTATGGATCGACACCATTAGTGGTGACCTGAACTGTGTTGTTGTCTGTTGGTGGTCACTTTAGGAAATCAAGATATTCTTTCCAGGGTTCTTACGGTCATTAAAAACCTGGAAAAGTCATGGAAATTCAAAATTTAAATTCCAGGCCCTGGAAAAGTTATGGAAAACAATATTTTTCCCAAAATGTTGGAAAAGTCATGGAAATGTAACTAAAGTTGCATCAAATATAATTTATATTTTATCCAATCGCCGAAACAGTAATACTATAATGATAATAAATACTGTATTGTAATGAAACGTAAAATGGCATTTAACTGACGAGGTATTTTGCTGGTGAGGTTTTAGTTGCTTTAGTTTGTAGAAGCTAGTAAGCCTATTTGATTTGATTTAGATAGGCACAACATGTTTCAGACCTTATTTTCCTGTTCCATGTTAAAATAAACCATTTTCAGTGGTACCGCTGAGAAAGAGTCATTTCTTTGGTCATGGAAAATTAGGTAAAGGTCATGGAGAAGTCATTGAAAATCATTGGTGAAAAAGTGTATGAACCCTGTCTTTCTGATAATGAACTTATTACATTTGGGTGGAAACAGTTTGAAGTGCACCTGGACATATTTCTGGACATAACTCAAGAATCTGTGTAGTAATTAGGACAATTTCCCATCAAATGTCTAATAGGATCAAATTATGAGTTGATTACATTTCGGAAAGACATGATTAGCAGGCGTTAATTCCTGTTTTACTATACGATTACAGGATTGTTTGTGAAACTCACCGTCTCTGACTTTGTCTTAGTGTTGTATTTTAAAGGTCTTCAGGTGACTTTATTAATCCAAATGTCTCTGTGTGTCTTGTCCATACAGCAGCGTCTTTATCAGAAGCGCAGAGTCGAGTGTCTGCTCTGGAGGCGGAGCTATGTGGGAAGGCCGAGGCGTTGAAGTCTATGCAGAACGAAATGGTGCAAAGCAAGAAGGAGCTCGCTGTGAAGGACGTCAGCATTCAGAAAGCTCGCAACGAGCTCAGCGTGGCACACACACGCATGGCTCAGGAGAGCGAACGGGTAAAAACAATCAGAATCAGAATACCTTTATTAGTCCCACAGAGGGGAAATTTGCAGCGTTACAGCAGGAAAGAGCCACAGACAGCTTAGTGTTGCATATCTTAAATGCGTTAAAAAAAGTACTAAGTTATAATATAATAAACAATATGCTAAAAAAAAGAAAAATACAGATCAAAAACAAATCAAATCTACAAATCAAATCCTGTAGCAGTNTTCTATTTGACTTTACTAAAAATATAAACCTGTTGGGAATATTATACTAGTTACCCAATCGGTTGTTTTCAGGCACCTTGAAAAAGTTGAGCTTTCAAATCTAACCTTTACCCAAAGCCAAGGAGAGAGACTGAGTCGCCAATTCTCCTATTGTCTCGGTTTGTAAAGGGTATTTATGCTAAGCTCTAAAAGAGTGAGGGATTTCCTCATGACAGGAAAGTCAAATGCAGTGTCAGCTTCACAAGATACAAAGTGCAAAAAAAACAATACAACAAAATGTGTGAAACGCATCACTTTGAAAGCAAATACAACCGGTTTCTGAGAGGTGACTTACAAACATGCCCACAAGTTAGTCTATTTACATTTGGAATAATAAAGTATTCTAATCTTCAGCAGGGCTCTAAACCCAGGATGGCAGCAAAGAAAATGATCCTATTACATGTTTAAAATGGAACATGTGTTTGTTGTGTGACAGACATCAGGAGCGGAGCAGAGGCTGAAGCATTCTACAAGAGGAGCTGAAGTGTCAGAGGCAAAACACAGAGAGCAGCCGACTGCAACACCAACAACGCTCCAAGGAGCTGGGAGAAACAGCATCAGAGGGTGAGACGGATAGAGATTGATGGCTAATTTTGGTCAAATTCAAGATTAAGAGAAATGGAATGAGAAGCTAAGAGCTTAAGCCTTAGATGCACGAGTGACTGGGAGCCTACACTCTTCCATAAGTGGGGTCAAAAAGGACCCGTATTAGAATAATGTGTTTTTATACAATTTTGGTCGTTTTGGTTAAGAAATATTTGGCTTCACACAAAGCAATATTTTATATTTAAGGTAGGGTAGGTAAGAATCAAGAAAGGGAAAAAATCTGTCCCTTCCTTCAGACTTCCTTACAGAGCCCCTCCTCCAACACACACGAACGCGCACATGACCAATGAGGGCACGAGATAAGTTTGTGCCCAGATGGAAGGCTGACAGGCAGGTAGGCCATCCAGTTGTTTTAGCCGGGCTGGCTCAGATGATTGGTCGTGCTTTTTACAGTACTACGGCTTCCACAGATGATTTTCTTTTTTAATGTATTTGTTGTCAAATTATTTAATGTATTCATTGCAATCGGGATGTTAAGAGCATTCCATGGAATATAACAAAAAGTGTTTCTGAAGTGAATTACCTACCCTACCTTTAATCTTTCATTATTTATAATTTTTTGACATTTTTGACATTTAAAAAAAAAAGTTTTGAATATATTGATGCAAATATCTCCGTTATTCTGAGACCCTCACAGTATTCCAGTCCCTTTTCAAAACTCATCTCTTCTCTTGTCTACTCATACACCCCCATCAATCCATGCCGGCTGATCAAGTTTGATAGTCCTATACCCCCCACCCTAACCTTCCCTTATATTGTAAAGCGATTTTGAGTCCTTGAAAAGCCCTATCCAAATATAATGTATTATTATTATTATTATTATTATTATTATTACACTGACAGGTATCAGATCTTGCTGTTTAAAATAATCTTCCTGAGAGGTGTCACTTGTGATGTAGTCTGTGTGTCCTACAGTGAATGTATTCCTGACAGCAACAGGTGATAAGAATCAAAGGTTCCCATAGGATTCCATAGAAAATGCATGCGGGTCATTTTTGACCCAGTTATGGAAGTTTGGGGTAGTAATACAAAAACTACAATTTCTTAAAATGTATACAATGTACATTTAAAATGTGAATGGCATGATATCCAAAACATGTTTTTTTCAAGGAATAGGAATAGGAAATGATAAAAAAATGTAATCACAAAGATACTTTAAGAAAACCACCTCACCGAGTTAAAAAAGACCCACTTATGCATCTAAGGGTTTTAAGGAAGCAAGAGGGAGTTTCAGATTGGTGTCCAGTTTGCTTTTTGTTCCATTCCACTCGAAGAAACAATACTGTGTTATCATCACAGCTGAAGAACATAGTTTCTCAGATGTGGTTGTGTTTGTGTGTTTGCCTCCAGGACCTGACGGAGCTGCAGAAGGAGAGGCAGAGTCTGGAGAAGCAGCATCAGCAGGAGGTGAATAAGCTCAACCAGGAGCTCCAGCAGGCCCGCACGCTGCACCACGCCCTGCAGGCCCAGGCCGACAAGGTACGCCCAGGAACAGGAACATCAACACGGTTATGCTTCCTCTTTATTTTTACAATTAAATGTACCTTGTTAAAATGTTTTAATTCAGATATCTATCAACACTGGAAACTGTGGACCAAATTTCATTTTATTTCGGTTGATAAATGTGCTGTCTTTTCAGCCCTTTCCTGCTTTCTCTTTTTCTCCCTTCTCCTCCCTCCCTTTCTAATTCTCCTTGTATTTTTTAAGCTCAAGTTCAATAAACTCTTCTTGCTTCTTCTCCCACACTTGCTTCTTGCCTGGTGTTGTTTTCTCACTGTTTCTGCTTCACGTTCTTGCCCTCTGTGTGTCTTGTTTCTTTTATCCCCCCCACCCGCTGTCCTCTCCGCCTCGTCCTCCTCTCCTCTCGGTTTCTCCCCAGTGGAAAGGTTGAGCAGTGAAGGTAATGACCGCGGGACTAAGTTTGAGGGTGCAGAATGCTTTGATGATGAGAGCGTGAAACAAACACTTAACTTGTGTGTGAGAAATAGTAAAAAGTCCGTAGTAAGGGAGGTGTGAAGGAAGATGAGAGATCTGCAGGAAGGTGTGTTGAGGCAAGTTGCATGACTGTCGAGATGAAGGTCTGTGTTTGTGCTTGGAAACATGGTGCTGTAAAGTGAAGGAATGCTGTGGTATTTATTTGTTATCAGCAGAACAATAATACACATTTAAATCCCTTGAGGGTGAGCACGCATACAAATTAAAAATCCTATCCTTTCAGACACGGTGACAAACGTCTGAACAATGAGCATTCATTCAACCCTCAGTGTCCCCTAAAGCCTTACTGCAAGCGCTTTTACAAACCACACAGATGTTATCTTGATATAATCTGGCAAGGCTACAGAGAGTAAACACAGATTGTGCCGATCAAATCACCCACACACTCAACTGCCGATATCGCATATTTCATGTGACCAATTTACACAGCTCTTTCAGGAGTTTGTGCACAAGCATGCCGTTTAACTTGAAATGTGAATCCAGTAAATGGGCTAATTTCAATAATTGTCAAACAACATATCATTATAGCCTTGTGTGCTGCAGGAACATTCATTTTACCCAGAAAAACGGACACAAAACCTTAATTTCCAAGAAGATTGCTGACTGCAACTAAATGTTTGATTTATTGATAACATTTCCTATTTTTGTTCTTTAATGATTGTTTGGTCTGAGCTGAAAACATGTTCATGTTGCATGAAAGGTTATTTTAACAATGAACTGATTATCAGAATATTTACTTTGAATGTGATGTGATTACTGAAATTGGATGCACTGCACTCTACAAAAACATTGCCTTTAACATCGAACACGTGTCCTATGACATGAGCACTTTCTATGAGCACTGGTGGGAAGCCGATCTGCTTCTTCACTTCCCCAGAGGTAGACAGCTTATTCTCCTTATTGATCACTGATCGCCCTCCTGCTTCCCGTCCCTTCACTGGTCCTGATACCTGCCCCTGATACCTGCCCCTGATACCTGCCCCTGATACCTACTCCTGATACCTGCCCCTGATACCTACTCCTGATACCTGCCCCTGATACCCGCCCCTGATACCCGCTCATGATACCTGCCCCTGATACCTACTCCTGATACCTGC